TGACAATACAAAAGGAATCCTGTCACGCAATCTCTGCTAAGATTTAAATAAAGCATATTTTTTTTTAAAAAACCAAACAGAATTTTAAAAGCAAATATTTTACCTTCATTTCCTTTGCAACAGTTAGCATGACAAAGTATGCTCAATTTGTTCATAAAATTAGCACTGTCTCCCAGGTTTTACTTGCCCTGGTTCAATCACTGATTAGGTATGATAGGAATAATTAGTCAAAATAGACTGTGCCCTTTTTAGTTATTAATACCTATCAAAAAAAAAAAACAAAGGAAAAATACTGTACAATATAAGACTTTGATAAATACATTTTATTGAGCTTTTATGCTTTTGGATGGCTTCATTTTTTAAATGATTTTAATGAATGAAGAAGGAAGGGAGTCAAAAAAATTGAGGGAGGAAGAATATTTTGGCATCACTGCACAATTTTTTTCTGATACTTCTAGGACCTTAATGAAGAATCTCCACCCTGGAATTTAGAGCCTCTGACTAGTTTGTAAATGTGATTACGCCATGAATTATGAACAAATTGTTGCCATCTGCATTTCTTTTCTGAATTAATTGTCATTTATTAATTTTCCACTTTAAATTTATTGATTTGTTAATCCTGCATTCTCAAAATTGCTAAATAATGAGTTTGTATGGATAGGAGAATTTTGCTTCCATTTTCACTTCAGAGAGTATATACTTTGATATTAGGCTGCTAACAGTATGTTACTTGCTAATTATTTGTGTTTTCAATAATGCAGCCAGAATAGCACCATCCTCCATAAATTAGTGTTAAATTTAATAATTGTCTCTTAATAACTGGAATCTTTGCTTGACCTCCATCACATTTTTTAAACCAGTAGTTATTGAAAAATATTATATTCTAGAATTGAAATTTTAAATTCTTATTGCTCATGAACACAGATTAAGTTTATTCCAGTTTGCTGTTATTGGATCTTAGAGATGTCATGATATATTAATCCTAGCAGTTGCTGGCTGTTTAACTATATCACAAATCCTACAGGAAAATTCTTTCCAGCCGTTACAGATTATAGAGGTGGATGGTGCTTGAGTTATTCAACATTCCACACAAACTATGTATCTAGGTTCACATGAAAGAAATACAGTAAAGGAGGGTGTAAAGTGTTGGTAGTCAACTGTTGGAAGTTGACAGAAAGGACAGTTTTACCCAAGTAGTCATTGCGCTAAGGGTGGGGCCTGGTGGCCTGTGGAGGAGCAGCGGGAGAGAGCTTTGTTACCCTGATGCTTTTTAAAAACAGCCTTTTATGTTAACTTTTTTTTTTCTTCTGTGAGAGGCACAATTCGTGAAAGTTCATTACTTTTATTCTGACTTTATCCTTCTAAGATGATCCTATGAATGACATGACAGGGTTTAGAGGTAACATATATAAATCAGATTAACTTTCTCTGTATATATAAAAACAAACTCTTTGGAAGATTCTAAGCCCAGCATTGAAAATTAGCTTCAGAACTGAGATTATAACTAGAGTGTTCATTTATTCTAATATTGCTATTTGTTTGTTAGATTTTGCTGTTTACTAATACTTCATTTCACTACAATCTAGTTATAAAAATTTATATTTTACATATATTAAATGTTAAAATTTAAATATATACTATTTTATAACACTAAAAAAATACTTCATATTATTAGAGTAGAAAGTGAAGTAAGAGTTCTACTTTCCTATCCAGTTCCATATTTTTACATTTGAGTATGTAAAAAGAAAGGTCCAGTAGCTTGCCCAAGATTGTTACTAATCGTTAAGGGCATCTTTTAGCATTATCAGTTTATCTACATATTAGTGCCAATTAATCTAGCTAGTAATCAAGTCATTACTGGAAGTAATATACTCTTGTAAACACTCAAAGCAATGCTGTGATCAGTGTTTTTTATTTATGAAGATAATGTGGATTTACAGCACTGTGTATCTTTTACAGGTATAGGCTCACACCTCAGCAAATCTGTTACCATTCTGCACCCACTACCGAAGTTCCAGTAATCTTCCACAAAATAAATTGGCATTTCACCCTCATTCTTACCCTGCACCCCTTTTCCCACTACTAGCTTCAGTTCTATAACCATATTTCAAGGGCTTCTGTTGGCTATATAAAATTTTTTTTTACTATGTTTCTTTATTCCCCTCAGGATAAAATCATTCAGTGTTTGTTTTTCTGATTTTCACTTTATTTCACTTAGCATAATCCCTCCACTTCCATCATTATTATTGCAAGTGGCAAGATTTCTTTTTGTAGCTGAGCTGTATCTCTTTGTGTGGGAGGTGTGTGATATCTGTCTGTGTGTGTGTGTGCATGAGTGTGTTGGGGGGGTCATTCAAGTTTTCATAGTCTGACTTGTAAATAATGCTGCATAAACACAGAAGTGTATGAATTCCTTCAAGTTAGTGTCTTTGTGTTCTTTGGGCAGATTCCCTCTGCCCAAAGATGATCTAATGGATCATATGGCAGATCTATTTTGCACGTATTGAGAGCATCCATGCTATTCTATGAAGGTTGACCTAGTTTTCATTCTCATCAGTGCTATATGGTACCTTTCTCAAATACTCCATGGTCCTTTGAAACCTGGTATCAAATAATGAACTCTACATAAATGTTTATATTGGTCAGTTTATAACGTGCCAGGAATCATTCTTTTAGCTTGCATGTTGAATAGGGCAGCAGAGAATTTGAAGCCATTACACGAACAATCATATGAAAGTTAGGCTATCTAGGATGGTAGCTCTGTGTTTCCAGAGGTAGTTCATTAACACACACATTAGCACACACTACTTCGTGGTGTGTTAATATTTGAAGGTAAAGATTATCTTTTCCATTATTGAATATTAGCTGTTATTTGATATTTTTCTGATAGCGGTGTGTTATTTAGTAATACAGAGTCTGAAAAAATAATGTCGCTGTATTTAAGCCTATCTTAAAGTATGAAATATTTGGAAAGAAAGCAAGTAAGTAGGGCTGTTCAGAGTTAGGTATGCCAAGAATTTCCAGCTCTAAATGAAATCCTGATAGGAAAGGTGACTTCTCCCTCTTACATGTATGTTCTGTGAAATATTAGTTGTGTTGAGGCTATTGATGATAGAGTTGTCCTATAGTTACACCCAACACTTTCTACCTTACAAAGCCCATGCTAAATCCCATTAATCACTTAAATTAGAATCTAATCAACTCCCTTTCCTTCTAATTATGGTCCTTGACCATGTCATATTAAGATTTGTCAGCTCTGGTCTTCTTTTCAAGACTCTCTTCTCCTTTCTTCCATACTGTATGCTTGATCACGTTCATTTAATCAACCTTTCAGCTTTCGGGCAAGTGCTCATGAAATGGTGCTTCAAGCCCAGTACTCTAAATTCTAGCCATGTATGCTCGGCAGTTACCGGAGAACAAACAAAATTTCCTTACTGTTGTTAAACTACAGACATATATTTTGTACATTAACAGATATATATATATATATATATATATATATATATAGTATATCTGTGATTTTATAATTTCAAGTTATAAATGACTAGAAGAAAAAATACCTAAAAATGCCCTTCAGTTGGGCCCTCCTTGGTGGCACAGCGGGTTAAAGCGGCAGCACTAAGAAGATAAAGCCACTTCAGCATGAGTTCCATCCCCACCTGCCCCAGAGGTGACCACATGGCCCGGCAGACCTCTCGTGACACGCCCACTGATCCCCTCAGCAGTGTACCTTTCTCTGGTGAATCCTCTCACCACCCCTTGCACCTCTGGCCTGTACCCCAGTTCTGTATGCACAAATAAATAAATCTGAAAATAAAAATACTCTCCAGTCAAGAATGAAGATGTTGAGATACATTGTTTTATACTTATATAAATTATTATATAATATCATTTCCACATGGATGTTGCTTTAAAAGATTCAAACTCAACTTGAGCCAAACTGAAAAAGTTATTTCCCTGGCCACCTTAACCCAAATCTCTTTCTTGTCTTTTCTGATTGGTTTCAGTGTTCACTCTGATAGGTTTCCCATGTCTACTCTGTCCATTTTCTCCACTCCGAAGGCAGTACTTCAATTCCCTCCTCTTTCCCTCTCTGGATTCTTACTACAGCTCTTTAAATTGCTCTGCCGTCTGTTGTTACTTGCTCTGATCTTTAATCCAAGCTGGACTAGCTGCAACTTTCTCAAATGTTTCATGCAGTTTAAAAACTCCCAATTCACAGGGATCGGATCAAAATCCTATTTCCAATGCTGGAATTTCCATTATATTTCTTTTTACTTTCTGGTCTTTTCTCCCTTCCCAAATTTGTATCTTTCTATTCTTCCTCACTTGCCCTCCACAACTCAGATATTTATTCTGGAGTTTTTTGTTTTTTTTTTTATTCTGTCTTGCCATTTTCTTGCTTATCAATGACCCTTTTCAAATGCTATAGTCTATCTGCCTATGATAGTTTGCTTTTCAGTTTTATCCATTCCTTACCAAGCACCATATACAACTTTGAGCCTACTAATATTCACTTCAAATGTCATGTCCTCCTAGATGTACTTTGTGATTATTTTTGTTGTAAACCACTTCTTGAAGAATGACTGTGTCTTTTATTGTTGTATCTCTATTCCCATAGTATTAGGTAGGCATTCTACAAATATATGTCAAATGGAAATGAATGAAAACCCAGGGTATTTTTAAGCACTACTGTAGTTTATGTTCAGGTGTTTTTTTTTTTGTTGTTTGTTTGTTTGTTTGTAGGTAGGTATTTCTCCACTTATTTATTTAATTTTTTGTTCTTTAAAATCCTGCATGCTGGATTGGTTGAAACATATGCCTTCTTTACAGTAGATGTTAATAACTTTGAGTAAATATCAATACTTAAATGTAGCTTTTCAACTATTAAAATGCTCATCAAAAATAAAATAGTATTACTACTGACTTTTTTCTTATCTGCAAAACAGACAGTAGTTTATCAAAATATTTTTTCACATTTTTCCTCTCATCCAATTTAGCTAAAGGACACAAAATCAGCAGATCAGAAAACAACACTGCTTCATTTTCTGGTGGAAATATGTGAAGAAAAACACCCTGATATTCTGAATTTTGTGGATGATTTGGAACATTTAGACAAAGCTAGTAAAGGTATGTGCTTTCATAGACAACATATCACTCCTTTGGGTCTTTAGTTAGGATTTGAACATAGAAAATAATGCTTTTATTTGAATATACTTGCCTTCTTTGTCAGTGTTTTCATTGGCAAATATTCACTTCAAATGTCATGGAAAATGGAAAATGGAAAATGGAAAATGGTAGGTCATTTATTCAAATGGAAAATGGTAGGTCATTTATTTTATAATTGGCATTCCTGGTCATGGATTTAATTTGATTGATTAATTAATTAATTGCATTCAAAAATACATTTTTGCAATTTAAACTTTGTAAATACTTCCAGCTCTACCTCCTGCTGTGCAGCAAGCCCCTCTGCTATGACCAGTGAGGTGCTGTCCTGGTACAGTCGTTCACAAGCACTTAGAGACATTATGCTTCTTAGTCACCTGCAAGTAATCAGTGACTCCCTTTTATCTTAGTTCTGAATCTGTCTCTGCCCACAGATGGAACCTGTGTTCTTGGTACTAGTTGTGATGAAAATGGCAGAGACTCTATCTCTGTTTCTGAATGCCCAAATTTCTGACATGCTTTTAGCCTCAACTGTGTGCTTAGATCAGGTTGTAATGGATCCTTGGAATGCTGGAGCCTATTATTAATGCTTGGTTGTAATCTGATTTAAACATAAGTTTTGACCACATGAGGCATCTAGTTTTTATTTTCATAGTGTATTGATAATCTGGGGGGAAAACTTACTAGGCTCCAAATAACCAATTTATGAATACTCATTTGTATGAAGAGATACATTTTGAAATATAACTTATTTGAAATGGTGGAATATCTCCTTTCTTTTTGTGTTGAATTCTGGTCACTAACATAGCTAACTTTTTTTTTTTTTACAACCATTTACTTTTATATCATTTTGTACATTTTTTTTCCATCTCAATTGTAATCACCGCGGGTTTCCCAGCACCAAGTCACCCGTGTGCCATCACCATAATCCCGTGCACTTCCCTCCCCACCCCCATACTTAACTATTTTAATAATCTGAGTATTTACATTTAAAAATTTGAATCTGTGGAGCAAACGAAAAGTACTTTTTCCCTTTTTGCTGTGAATATTCCTGGTAAGTACCCCTTTTAAATTATGTCATATTCTATAAAATGGGGAAAGTAGCACTTTATCTGTAACGAGGAATATGATTAGATAAGATTTTCCTTGAAGTATTTCCTTGAAATATTTTGAGATATATGTGTCTTTGAAGGTTATATATCATGAAATCTGATAAGGGAAAAACATTGGAAATAATTCATCTTGATTTTTAACACCAATAATGACCTTTTATTCTGTTCCTAAAATTCTAAAGTTAATGTAATTACTTACGTTTTCCTTGTGTTACCTTAAGATGTCCTTAGGGTAAGAAGATAATGTCTATATAAAGGTGTAAGTGTTTAAATGAAGTCAAGAAGAGAAAATAATTCAAATATTTTCCACACATTAAGCAATGAGATAGGGCAAACTGGCACAAAGTGGGAAAATACTAAAACTAACCATATGATATATTTTTTAAAAGATTCATTTACTTATTTATTTATTTACAGAACTGGGGTACAGGCCAGGGCTATGATGGGTGAGAGGATTCACCAGAGACAGAGTGGGAGCAGAACAGGCAGATTGACTGAAATACACTGCTTAGGGAGCAGCAGGCCAGTCAAGAGAGGTCTGCCTCGCCACGTGGGTCAGCTTCCTGGCCGGGAATCAAACTTGTGCTTCAGGGGCTTTGGAGAGCATGATAATGCAGTGCTTTAACCCATTGTGCTACCAGGAAGAGCCCCTGAAAATAATTTTTTAACTGATTGGTTCGTTAACTCAGCACAGGAAACTTTCCTAAAATGAGATTTCAGTGATTTTGGAAATTAAGTGTGCTAATTAAGAACTGAAAATGGTTATTCTTGAAGGAATGTTAAACTGGATAAGTAACAAAGCAGTGATTGATGAGTGGTGCAAAATGCCTTGATATTTATGGGAAGTTCTTTTTCTGGGGAGAGGATGTGTAGTTAATAGCTTTATCTACAGTAGCCTCTAACAAGAATTAGGTTAGGGCAAGCATTGTCAAAGAATAGCAGTTGCATTTCTGGCCATCTTGCTATTCTTCCTCCTACTTCTACATTACACAGCTATAACACACTGCTCTTTCAGATGTGTTTTTTTATTGTTGAAATTACCTTCTAGTGATTTTGCTGCAATTAAGGCTTTGAGAAATAACTGTCTAAACTCATTTGTATATAAAATTTTGTATAAATATATTTTGTTTTTTAAAATATTTATCTCAGTAAGAAGTTGGAGAGTTGTTAATCATTAGATGTTCTGTTTTCTTTTTTGGTGTGTCTGTGGGCCTTTGGGGTTTTAGTTTCCATCTGTTAGAGAGGAAGCTACAATATGCATGACTCAGCAGATACTGTTAATATGTTTCACAGGGAACAACCAACCTCAGATTAGAAATACAAAAGCCATCACTGGAAGAACTTTTTTGGAGTGTAGGTGATTGCTGAGCATAATTTCTTTTTATGATTTTTATCACCCTTTTAATAAGATTTTACAAGAATAAATGTAGTGTTTGAGGTGAACTGTCTATGTCTGTTTTGGAGAATTTCAACGCTCTTATATACCATCATTTAAAAGTTTCCAGATTTGAAATCTCCTTAGTGAGCTATCACATGAATTAAAAAGTACCTTTGTTTTCTAGACACAACAAATCCTGGTCATTAGATACTCCTGGATCAGCAGGGGCAACTTTCATTGCAACTAATGAGCTTACCCGTGTGACAATTTTCAAAAATCTACTTCATTAGGACTGCTTTTTTTCCTAAGAGATAATAGCTTACAGCTTTTCTGTTGTATATCAATGAAAATATTTTGGGTCATTATTGTATTTCTGTACACCATTGTAATGTTTCTTTCCTTTCTAGACTTCTAAGAGTTGAGCACATTTTCTCCCTTGTCTGAACAGTTGGCAATTAGTTGGCTCTAATCTGTGAAGCTTTCATTGATTACTTCACAATAACCTGTTTTATGATTAAATAGGAATGGTAGTGTATTAATGAGTAGAAAATGTGACAAAACTGGTTTGAGGAATGTGTTAAGTACAATCGAAGTTAAGTTTACAGTGTCATCATGTTCCGTGCTGTCTTTTTTAGGATTGTCATACCTCTGCAATTATATTTTTATTTTTGTCTAGATAGTCAATTCTTAATTCTAGAAATGCTGCTGTTCTAACCCAATCTGTAATTCACTTATGATCCATTCATTTGATAAGCATATGGCTTCTGATTACTCTCTGTGTTAGAAACTCTTGTCTTGCTGCTGGTGTAAGGTATTGTTTTTGAGTCACAGTGTAACCCAGGTGACCTCACTCACATCTGGTTCTGTCTCAGCTGACTCCACCCTCTTATTCTGAGTATCTTTTACTTCTAAGTATTGATTCCTACATGCTTTACCTCCTTTCCCCAGATTCTACTTACTTGAATAAATCTTTCTCAGCCCTGTTTCTTCCACTTTATTTTGTTTCATTTATTCTGTCTCCTTCGGCATCTCCTGAACCACCAGTTTGTGGTAGATTGTAAGTTAAATCCATGGGAAGTGGCATCTGTGGCCTAGAATGTTGTCTGTTTTCTCCTTCATCAAGTGACTTAAATTAATGTCATCTTCCCTCCTTTTCTGTATTTTCATGGTGTTTACTTGAAACACCTAAGACTATGTGTGTTCCACTCTTTCCTGAAAAATAAATTTTTTGATTTTTCCAGAAAATCTTAGACCACTCTAAACTAGAGACCATTTCTCAAACTGCTGGAAATCAATGTCACTGTATAGAGAAAAGACATTGCTCAGTGTATTGGGTATTTTTGTCATATATATATATTTTTCTATTTCTACATTGTCTGTTTCAGCAGTATTCTTTTCTGACATTTGAATCCCCCCCCCCCCTATTATATAAGCTCTCAGCTTGTTAAAACTACTTGTTTGCTTTTAACTAGTAAATCCTTACCCGGACGGAAGTATTTGTCTACTTAAACACATCTCCTGATTTCTCATTCCTTGTGACTTTCCAATATTTTATGATAAATGCCTTACTAAATACCAAATGTTTATCTTTTATTCACCTACTGTGAACACTTAGAACACTTAATTTCCAGGTGGCTGCCACCTGGAAACTGCATAGTGTTTGAAAATTTCAAACTCATCTGCTATAGCAAGCAAAAAGCTTTTTCAAAGGCTTCTATTAATCTCCTTATGTTACAATTTTCCAAAATGTCAATTAAAATTTATTAGCCAGTTTGATATATATTTTGGATATTCAGCATTAGCTATTAATTCAAATTACATTGTATTTCTTAAGTGTATATTATAAATATACAAAAATATTGTGCAACAAAATTAACAACATGACTAGCATTGTATTATTGGTTGGATTGATGATGCCATGGAGATTATAAGGTTGAGGTGTTGTAATTTTACAAAATAAATGCTTTATTTGAGTTTCAAGTCAGTTGTAGGATATCAGTTTTATGAAAATACACATAGTGTTCAATTCCAACAATGTAATGAATTAACAGGATACATTATTGTTTGAAACCATTTATTATAATAAAATAGTGAAGGTAAACATATGATACATTCTGTTAGGACCTGAATGGTGTCCCTGTGTGCTGAGGTACTAATCTCAAAATGTGATGGTATGTGTGGATTGGGCCTTTAAAGAGGTAATTAAGATAAAATGAGGCCCTTAGGGAAGCTCTAACCACCCTGACTAGTGAGCAAGGATGGTGCACTATGAATGTTTTTTGGTGGTCAGAGTGCTGTGGTAATAGCACCAGAAGTGGAGGTCCTGTACTTCAAAAATACATACAACAATATAAACTCATGTTAGCCCAACAACAACAACAAAAAATTGAAAAAGTGAATTTGGTCAGAGGGGATGCACATGCGCAAAAGAGAGACACGGAAATGTATCCAAAATGTGGTCCTCTTCGAGTCAA